TATAAAGATTGACATGGTCTTCCTAGGGTTCGCTTATAGTACAAGGCTATTGAATAATTACACTGATGAGGCTAGAATGCACATGAATGTCGAATAGTGTATCATCATTTTTATGTACCTTTTGTTTGTTAAAGTGAAATGTAGTTTATTTATGATTGTGTCTTCTTTTAGAGCACTCACAACCATGAACAAAATATTTACTCATGGGCATATTTTGTGAGCAAAAAATATGCTCATCACCCACAATAGTGAGCAAATCCAAAAATGCAAGAAAAAGCCCATGGGCATAAATGAAAATGCCCAAAGTATGGGCATTTTAATTGATGAACAGTGCTGGAAGTGGGGCCCACATGTTGCAAATAAGCTTAAAAAAATTTGGCTGCCAGACCATCAAAACGACGCGTTTTGGGCTAGCAGCCTTAATGGTGCTGGCCAAAACGCGCCGTTTTGACGTAAAAAAAAATAAATAAATAAAACCGGCTACTGTTCGCGTCAGTAAGCCAGCCAATAGGCGCGCGACACGTGGCGTACTGCAGGAGCTTGGCCAATGAAAAAATTAGCCGTTTTACAACGGTAATATTGTTTGTAATGCATTTTCTGAAAAATATTTTTGGTAAAAAAAAAAAAAAAAATTACCAACGGTCATAAAATTAAATTCTCTAAAAATAGACATGCATTTTGATATATTTTGATATATTTTGGAAATCACTTAAAATCCTCCACTTTTTTATTTTCTTAAGCATTTTAAATTTGTTGAAGAGCATTTTTGTTGCAATACACCCATATTGAGGTAATTTTTTTTTTATTTTTCTTATTATTTAAATTCAGTTATGTAATAAAATTAGTATATATGTGATTTTTTGAAAAAAAAAATATTGTATGCCATGTTGTTTAATTGCATTATGTAATTGAAGAAAGTTGTTGATATGTTCTCCATACATTACTAAATTTGTAGTAAAAAAAGTGTTGCATTTATTGGTTACTTTTTTTTTTTTCTAATATTAAGTTATGTATTAAAATTAGTATATGTGTGTTTTTTTGAAAAAAAAAATATTATATGCCATGTTTACTTAATTGAAAAACCCAATTGAAGAAAGTTGTTGATATTTTCTCCATACATTACTAAATTTGTAGTAAAAAAAGTGTTGCATTTATTTGATATATTTGCTTTTTTTTCTAATATATAAATTTAGTTATGTATTAAAATTATTATATGTGTGTTTTTTTTGAAAAAAAAATATTGAAAACCATGTTGTTTAATTGCATTATGTAATTGAAGAAAGTTGTTGATATTTTCTCCATACATTACTAAATTTGTAGTTGAAGATGAGCGCCACAACTACACTCGAGCCGAAGTTCTGAGAGCCTTCTACGAAGAAGAGCAACAAGAATCAACACCAGCATCAACATCTACAACGCCACCGTTTGAATTCAACGTAGGCCGACCTACCAACTTTGACTTCAATGCATTTCTACAGCGAAAAGCTACCCTCCGTGACAGAGAAATTCATCTATCTCTGAAACGTGATTTAGTCGAACATATTTGGCAACGATACGGGCCACGTAATTAGGGAGAAATTAGACGACTTAAATAAAGCCAAGTACTATGACATAGCTACTTTTCCTTACGCAGTCGAGTTATTTTTTAGTTGTTGTTAAGTTTAATTACGCATGACGTTGCAAATGTAATTGGTTTCTAGTATTGTACTGCTTTTATAATAAATAAAAACATTTAACAAATTTTGAGCTTTTTTTTACAATTTTTTTATATACCGTACTTAATTTTACGACAAATTTTAACGATAAAAAGACAAAAATAAAAAAATAAATAAAAATGTTAAATTTGGAGTAACATTGTTAAAATATAAATGAAATAAATAAATAAAGAAGTGTTGTGTAGGAGAGAGAAAGTAATGGTGGGGTATTGAAAAAGTAAGAGAGAGAGAGTGGTGGGTGGGCATTTTTTTTGCTCACCATTGGGAGAGGAAATGTGAAAAAAAATTGGCCATGAGCAAAAATAATTTGTTGAGAGAGAAAGTGGGTAGAGAGAGAGTGGGTGAGCATTTTTTTTGCTCACCATTGAGAGTGGTCTTAGTAGAAAGGTTTTTAACATTTATTTTGTCAATTACAAGTATAATATACTCCATACTTAAGTAGAGTATGTTCTCTACATGTGAAATAAAGTGAAATTATTTGGTACATTAAGAGTTTTTCACAGACTAATGAATAGATCTAGTCGAATTTGAATTACTCTGGTTTGGTCAAATTTGGCTTGCGTCTTTCTTAGTTTAGTCTTGTCTTGCTTGACTAGAAGACTTAAATGATGTTAGTAGTCATAGGTATAACTCTTATACGAGTAAACTCTTTGGTTTGTTTTCTTTCAATAAAAGTGATGAAAATGTCATTGTCCATCTTATGCTAACTTAGTTTCATTGAGTAGTAAACAATGATAATATTCATAATAACAGAAATTTTCTTGTATGTATTGTGTTTTAATATGTCTTAAATTTGTTAAGCAATAATTGGATCTCTATCTTGATAATGCTCAAATTAAATTAATTTTCTTTGTCATTAACCTGACCTAAATTTGTTTACTCTGTATATACTAGAAAGAATATTATTAAAAACTTTATCTTTCCTATATGTGAACATATTAATATGGAGTATATTACAAGTAAACCACGGTACATAATCTGTGTGTGCTCTTTAATGCTCATTGTTAATCTTTCTTACATCCGTTATAACATATTGAAAGATAGTTTTAGGAAAATAGAACATTTGCACAATAGTACACTTTCACCCCTTAAATAAAATACATGGCACATAGCTTATTATTCTAAAATTAAGATCATAGCAAATATATTAGTAGTACTTGTAATTGATTGCTTCTTCAAAATCCAAGAAAAATCAACTTAAAGAGGTACCACTAACAGTTTTGTACACGTGCAACAGGATTGATACAATGAAACTTGAAAGCCATCTATAACTATGTTTAGTTGGTTGAAGAAATGAAATTAACATTATTGGGGGGACACAAATCATTTGAAGAGCTTAAACCAATAATATGAAAATATAACATTATTCAAACATAATGATGAAATTGATCCGAAAAAAACGTACCTAAACACTATGGTAAAATCATTGTTAGAATCTAATAATGTTAACTAAGTCACAAATCATGCTTATTAGTTAAGTAATCCACTGTCGGCAGGGAATATTAATCAAGATAAAGGCAGCATGAAGATGAATTAAGTCTTTGGTCTTTATAATTAGTTTTCCTTTTTATGTTAATTTTGGTGTAACTAATTATTTAGGACTTAGATAGTTAGATTCAGTGATTAGACATAATATGTGATTATGATTGGATTTATGAAAATGACTGTTTTGATTAATAGCATTATCGAATTTTTGTAGTTTATAATATATATGACCCCCCAACCGGCCTACCTCAAGACGGCAGATGTCATTCAATTTAACTAAGACTATTGCAAAACAAACTATTATTCGTACCACATTCATCTAAATTCCTTCTCTAATAAAGATAGTACAAGTGACACTCACTACGTAGTATCTCACATGGTGTAGTTGTACCTAGTTACAAAGACTTAGGGCCCGTTCTCATAGACTGAACTGAACTGAGCTGAGCTGAGATGAAATGAATATTTTATAAGAGAAGGAAATTAGGAGCTAAACTGAACTGAACTGAACTGAATTGAATTGAATTGAAAATAAGCGTATGAGAACATACCCTTACTCATCGCGGTCTCCGTTACACACTAGTTGTGTATTTATAAGAGAATAGGTGAAGTAATTCACTAAGCTACAAGGTGAAACAAATCAACCAATCAAATGAATTATACTTATATATAGGGCTTAATCTCGTTTTGGAGCATATAGTAGAGAGATATAAGACTAAACATATAACTTACTAAAACAAAGAAACGAACGATCCAAAATTTTTTAGTTGTATTATAACGAATTCATATAATACATTGAGCTCTTATGCTTAATATCAATCCCCATGATGTCAAATTAACTAACTTAATTAGTTGTTTAAGTCTGTTTTTTTTTTTTAATCAAATACAAGATCAAATTCTTTCCGTATGTATGACCTTTACACTTTGTTTGGATAGGAAGAAATGGATGGAAAAGAAGAGAAGAGAAATGGAGGGGGGGCAAAATCTCTTGTTTGGATAAAAGATTGGGGGAAGGAAGGGGAAGGAGAGGGAGGGATCCATTTTCCCTCTCTCTATAATAACCATAATCTCTCCAAAATTGGAGAGATTTGGAAGGAAAATGAAGCTCACATCCCCCTCCCTTTCTTTTCCCTTCCCTTCCTCCATTTTCCCTCCCCTTCTTTTCCTTCCTTCTTTGCTATCCAAACAATGCGTTAGGATCTTCATGTCAACAATATGTCAATTTCAAGAGAATCCGAATGAACTTGTAGATGCAAAACCTACTCATGTATAAATTATTAAATTACAGAGAATTGTATTGTGTATATGTAAATTAAAATCTTTGAAATTGATTTAATTAATATCTTTAAGTTGATAATCAGTGCAAAAAACAATGTTCATGATAGTACGATTGATTGAGAAAAAACTATTTGGTTATCCTAGTGGGTTATTTATACATTGGGTATATATAGCAATGTTCATGAGATTGATAGCTCCCCAAATATCGGGCTCTAGTCAAACTCATTGGCCCATTTGTACAATCTACATCGATTCCAAAGAATTCAATGTCTACAAGTCGATAGTACTCTACTCTATTTATTACCAAACAAACTTATTGTAACTTAACCAATTGACCTACAACTGACCGTCAACCCCGCCCTCCGGACAAGGAAAAGTGCTATATTGTCCCTTCATTCCAGCTCAATTACGAATTATTACTAGTATTATTGCTAATACTCGTAAAATTGATGATCATATGCGACTAATACGAGAACAGTCAATTTTTGCATATATTTGTAAACAAAATGAGGTAATTTTAAAATCTATACAAATTTTCACAATCACATTACATCTGATGTACGAAGTTTTATTTTGAAACATAGTCTGTAGGTAGCAAAGGAAATAAGCGATTCCACCATAGAGCAGTTAAATTTCTATTAATCACAACTTTGGGGCAGCGAAGTTCGAGAACTTGGGTTGGCATGCCTCATGGCTCATACAAGTACTAAAGTAAATTTCCTTGAGGCATGCCAATTCAAGCTCTAAAGCTTTTTCACAGCCAGTCAGGCACCAAAACATATGCAGTAGTTAAAAAAACGCTATTCATACTACTATAGCCAGGTAAGTTGCACAGTGCAAAATTACAACCATCTGGTCTCGAACAAGTATATATAGTTAATAGATTTTCTATCCTCCCAAAAGAATCACATAAACTACTAAATCGTCAAACCTATGATCACGAGCATAAGAAAATATTAATGAGACCGGAGAAGGGTACGGTCACTTATCTGGACATGTCTCTTAATGCTCTTCCAGCAGTGCAGGGCATAGATAACAAGATTTATAGGCAACTTGAAGCACGTCTTAAAATGTCAAGAGGCTTCTTCATCAAGAAGGGAGTCTCATACAGATTGCATATCCCTGGATTGCAAAGCTCCTTGAAGAATGTTCACAGCATTATCATAATCTAAGAAACCCATGTACCAAAATTCATGGTTGTCAACAGAAATTATCTGGATATATTTCTCAGCTGTATTTACCCGGCTTGAAGAAGGATTAACTGCTTTAAGCTGATGCAATGGAATGATTACCTGTTCAATTAAAGACAAGAGTACTGCTGTAAGAATCAACAAACACTTGAACTGGTTAACATGATATAATCAGAAAGATGGCTTTTATGACCTTTCAGATACGCCATGCCAACAAAACATACAAGTATATCAAAGAGTGCGCAATCTAAACCACTCCAATACACTACAACCAGAAAATCATTTTCCCATACCTAGTATAAACTATCTATTTGAAATTTACACAGAGAATCAGAAGTGCCTAATGAAAACATATGGTCGTCGCTAACCTCTTGAGTAATAAGAGGACAAATAAATGAGTTTCCCACCTAAACGAGATGCGGGGGTCATATATATACAGCCCCTGCAAGTTACAGTGAGGCAGTAATGCATTGCTCCTGCAGCTTCACAATGAGCAAAGGAAATTTATTGAGCAATTTTCTATTTAGTACATCATAACCCAAAGGTGGAAATCCTGGAATACTAGGTAATTCTTTCAACTCCATTGGCGATGGATTGGTTACTAAAACAATCATTTAGAAGTAAAGGTAGCCATATCTTGACAAATTTAATAACAAAGTAGAACATAGCGGATCCTTGGCTCCTCAGTTGCTGATTTAGTTCATGAACATACTAAGTAGACAAACCTCAAAATAGACAGACCTGATTCCAGCCCTCTGCAGCCTAAAGGGGTGCCAATCAGTCTCTCGTCAGAACATCAGAAAATAACAGAATCTTTTTTTTTTCCTCCGCTACTGGTGTTAATTTCTATATAAACCGTCATTTCACACCAACCAAACCTTTAACAGCAAGTTTATTTTAAAGACCAGAACTAAAGCCAACCTTGACCAGTAGGAGTTTTCAATAATCTACGAATATCTATCAACAAATTTCATCTCTTGACAATAATTGCAGAAACTCTATTGGATCATAAAAATTAGGTTTTTTTTTTTTTTTCCTTTACAAACTCCAATACAAAACAGCGATTACTTTAGATAATACACCATTAATCCATTATTGAATGCATTATTATTAATACTCCTCTAAGACAGCCGATCAATGACCAACGAAATCAGTCATCCCCTGGCCATGGAGTAAAAAAAACCCATTTAAGGGGTTAGTGAGAGGAGAATGAGGTATGAGCAAACACAGGAATACAAGAGCCTTGATAAGGTTCCAGAATTTTTGTGTTATCCCTCTTTAATTAACCCCAAAAAGGGATTCACCCCCCCCCCATGAGCTATGACCAAAGGGTAGACCAATTCCCCTTGTCATCAATGGAAATGCTTTGCAATATTTGTTCCTTATTTCCAACTTATATTTATCTTTTCAATACTTAGAGGAGCTTTTGTTTGCAACCCCAAAGCAACAGTTATTACTTACTTCGTAAGAAGGATGTAAGGAATGTAACATACTATCCTAAATTGACATCACCAAAGTCTAAATTAAATAAAAGTACACCTTAATTACTAACTTACTATTGATGCTCGTGTATTACAAGACTACAGTATTCGAAGGTCAAGAAATATATCCAATCCCGAAGGAAATCATCATAGAACTAAGACAGGGAGGAAACAACTCATGTTCATATAGTTTTGGACAAGCTGAAGTTTGAAAGGAGTAATAAACATCAGAGTCAGCATCTTCACTAATATCCTTGATTATATCAAAGTCATGAACGGCATATCAGAGGATGTTTTCCTAATCAAAAGTATGAAGGATGCTTCAAGCATAATGCCATAATGTAGCACAACCTCCACTTGCCTCGTAGCACATTCTAACAAAATGCACTCTCATAAAGAGAATTCACTTTTGACTTCACATAAGAAAAAAAAAGTCCCCAACAAAATGGAAAGATCTTAAATTAAAAGTCAAACAAATTAGAACCCTTAAGAGAGAGAGAGAGAGGGGTAGGTAATAAGCCAAAGTGCCAACGTTAATGAATTAGCAGGTTCTACCAACCGACCTGCCTTTCACTTCTATTCTTTATCATTATTAATTATTTCCACCCCTTGAAATGAAAAAAAAAAATAATAAAAATAAAAGAGACTCAATATAGATATTTCATCAGCCATATAGCCTATACAATTGTTCTTACCTTATAGTAACTCCATTCATTCTGATCACCATTTTTGTAAGGAAGAGGATTATCACTACAAAAGGCAAGCTTGGCTGTAGATACATATAATGTTCCCATCACCGGGCCTGCTGATGTAGACAAGTAACATGCATAACAATCCTGAACCTGCTCCTCAGGAACTGTGTCAAACGTTTGACGAAAGATTTTTTCGTAACCTCCCTCAGCTAGAACTTTAGTGCTGTGTACAATTCTTCCAATGGCAGCATCAGCAAAACTAGGACTTGTTTTTACTACCAAAAAGCACACAGAAAAATATGTCAACTGATAAAACTGGTATTTTTAATAAGCCACGAGCATTTAGCATTTAGAATATTAGAATATGAAATAGAAAAGGAAAGTGTACCAACTTGCACCAAAACCTTTGATTGCAAGAAAGTACCTTCAGCATATTGCTTTTAACCACTGGATTCACATCACAGGCATCAAAATCAATCTCAAAAGTGTGCAACGAGCCCGCAGCCACCTCCTGTGACTCTGGTGTACGGCAGGAGGCCACGAGGACAGTCACAGCAGCAGAGCAATTCACCCACTACTCAAACAACAACACAAGCAGCAAGTAGCAGGGCTCCCTTGGATTTATTGCTTAATTTGTTTTATTCCCTTATGTATGGCACTAAAAGACAAGTAGTAGTATTTGTAGCCCTAAAGGCCTGTGGCCAGCTATGTAATAGAATCTAGCAGTATAAATAGAGAGAGAATAGGAAGAAGGCAGTAGCCAGAAAATTGTATTGAGTATTTGGAGAGTTATGGCCTGAAGCCATAGTTACATTTCGCAAGCTCGACGCTTTATCTATCAAAATTACAACCTTTCTCCTCTATTATTCTTGTTGAGCCACCGCGTTCATTCCAAAGTGGGAGCCATATCTTTATGAAATCAATTTCGTGAGTCTACTCCCAATTCATTAATTCAATGAGGATAGGCTTTTCTTTCATAACAAAGCCTCACAATTAAATGAATCAACCCCTCATCCCCCCCCCCAAAAAAAAAAAAAAAAAAAAAAAAAAGAGGAAATGGAAATAGTATGCCTAAATTTCAATCCGACATGTAAATCCCACATAAGAGTTTCAAAAGGAAGAAAATTGTGTGTTCTTATCACAACCGGGCAAGCAACAGCTATCCCAGAATCTAAATTTCACTGTCCAACTTCCATACCGTTTAAGCTTCTACTTACTTTTTACTGGAATCCTTTTTTTTACAAACTAGCTGCTCAGTGCTCACTATATATCTTCTCTCCTTGTCACTATTTCACCAAATAGCTAGGTTTGCTCAAAAATAAAAGACCATAAACCAAAAAATGTGGAAACCATACCGTCTAAATTCTCTCCTTGTCACTATTATCACCAAATAACTAAGTTTGCTTAAAAGTAAAAGACCATAACCAAGATATGTGGAAAGTTGGAAGGCATTGTAAGATTGCTTTCTCCAATTACTATCCATGTGACCAAATGACTTATCAGCAACTCCTCCTTGGCTCCTTTAATCACCATATGAAACATTTCAAACCCCAATCTGCCTATCCTATACATTAAATTCAATTCCTAAAGAAGTAACACATGAAAGTCCAAGAGTGAAAAAGGACAAGCAAATCAGAGTAGGCATAATCTGCGCTTTCAATTCAACATGTAGTTCTCATACATATCACATTTGATCGGCTTATCGCTGCTCCACTGTTTTCAGAGGAAGCACTGTGATATTATGTAAGGCAAAGATAAAAAAAAATTCAGCTCTAATGACATCCCATTCTAAAGCAAAAGCAAACAAGCAAACAGCTGCATTGCACTTATAGCCAATACAAAGGCCAGCCTGAGCAATACCACATAGTGCATACAGGCATAACCTCAATGCTATACATTGAAAATTAAACTCCGCTAGTGTAACTCATCAAAACTATATCTGCAAAAGCAGCTATACATTGAAAATATTCCACTAAGAAAGCACATAGACAATGGAGTCAGGTACTGTGTACATGTAAATTAGACTAAACCAGTACGCAGTATAGCGCTAATAGAAGACAGAAAGGCCTGTCACTCTACCTGTGGTCCAATATGCCATGCATAATCAGACCTGAACAGGGAATGTTGAAGGTATAAGAGAGCTTCTGCAGACTCATTCTCAGCCAATATTCATTATCTTTCCAATACTAATCCCTGACTAGCTGAGACTAGTAGTAAAGATCCGAAATCCTGACTAGCCAAGACTAGTAGTGTAAATTCCAAATTATCCAAATCAGTAGATATATATCTAGAAATTTAAAAGAAAAAGCCCAAAATAGCATACTTTGAAATTGCCTATGGTTGCCTTAAGGTTATTATTTCTATACCTTACAACTCAAAACAACATGCTAATGCCATGAAGATGAAATCCAGCAGCCTGTTAGCATTTCTCTTTCCTCTCCCATTTTTCTTCTGCCCAGTGTTTTCTTACCTTATTACTCACCACCTCCTCCCTTTTCTCTTTCCTTCATCAACCACCGCCATTGACTCATCAAGTAAACATTTCTATTGAATACAGTAAAACTAAGTTGTTCTCACATCTCACATCTATATAATCTTCAGTAAATGGACATCTCCCATGGCATCTTACTTCTAGAACTTTATTCTTGATCTTATACCACACGAAAAGGTGTACATCCTATCTAGAATGTGTACTTCACTAACAATTAGCATTATGGCTTCTCAAGGTATCACATTCAGCTTCCAAATACAATCTTCTTGAAACCTTATTAGATCTTAGCAAACATGTCTATAGGGATCTCCCTTCACTTTTAAAGGTGTGTTGCAAATCACATAGATTTTTTAATGATCCGCTCTATTCAAAGCAAATTAACTAGTACCTCTTTTCTTCTATATACCCAAATATTAAACTCAAAGTAGGCAATTCCTTCTCATCTAGTTTCATAAAACAATTTGTCTAGTGGTTCATCCTCTTTGCATCTCCTTTGGCACAATCCATCACTTTCCATACCAGAGACTAATAACTTTGGCATATCTTTGAAATCTCAAGAATTGGCATGAAATGCTTAGAATTCACTTATTTGCCCACATAAATTCGTCTCTCCTATTGGTAATTTTATTTATTTATTATTATTTTTTTTTTTGGGGGGGGGGGGGGGGGGGGGAGGGGGGGGGGGGAGGGGGGGGGGATGGATTTTAAGTTGACTTGGCAAACATCTCGACACCAAAACTTTCTTAGTAAGCAGGCATACTGAAGTAACTTGGCTACAAGTCAAAATTCAAAACAACATACAATTTTTTTGAGTTTTTGTTTTAAGAAAATATCTCCATGCTAAAGCACTTCCTATGGTAATTAACATTTGTGCGCTTTCAACAAGGAGAGAGCTCAACTAAGGATGATATTATTTTAACCTCTAGATCTCCAGAATTTATAAATAACTACAGCCTTATTGATATTGTCCCTGATACATATGCCACAAATAATAAAATAAAGATAGATGAAGAATAAAGAGTATTCCCAATTGTAGATTTCCCTACATCACAAATTCACAACAAAGCCAAAAAGTTCTTATTCACATGAGAAGTATGATTACTGCACTGAACCCAAACTATATGCAAACAACGAAAAAAAAAAATCCCAAATTGTCACGTCACTAACCAAACAAGCCAATCAATCCTACAGGAAGAAATTTTCTTTCTTGATCCATGTACAACATCAAATCATTGCATATAATGTCAAATTAAGAATACGAAGCATCAATCTACTACATTATATTGAAGAACCATGCAAATGATGTAATCACTTCACCCTAGAATAATGATGAATTTACCGACATTTCAATCAATTGCAGCCTAAAATAATGATAATTTACTGACAATTCACAAAAAGAAGCGACTAATTTAACAAAATTAATAAACAAAAATCCAGAAAAAAGGGTAAGAAATGAATCATACAATGCTGCCAGGTATTGCCGGCGTAATCCTCAGCTTTTTTAGCAGCTTCCTTGACATTCTTCCCCCATCTTCCCAACACATTCTTCATCGTATCCATCTTTTCTGTTCCCCAAATTCAAATCAAAATCAAAACCAAAATCGTATAATATATAGTTTTTCATATCCTCAAAATTCAATCAAAATAGCAATACCTTTAAAAGTGGGTTCAGATGAGAGAGAAGGAGAAGACGAATGCGAGATGTAAGGGCTAGATCCACGAGAAGAGTGAGAATTGGGCGAAGAATCAGGTTCAATTGAAGGTGTATAAGTCGATTCAGACACCAATTGTTCGCTCCACTTAACCGATTTGGCCGCCTTGGATTTACCCTCCGGCGATCCGGTGACGTCAAGAGTGACGTCATTTTCCGGCGACTTTTTGGGTTCGTCTTTGAGATCAACCTCGTGATGCAACACTACCTCGTCTAAGGGAACGGAGTGAGTCGCATCGGCGGCGAGTTTACTGTCTTCCATGGCGGCAAATTGAAGATTTGGGGATCGGAAAACGGTGATTTTGTTGATTTGTAGGGAAAAAAAGGGAGGGTGTTGGAATGAAGGAGAAATGAGAAGAGAGTGGAATTCAACTTTTTTTTTTAGCCGTGATTGTCTTTTTGAATTTTCTTTCTCGTTCAAATACCAACGACAAATGTCATTACTTTTCCAATTATTTTGCTTTACCCACTTTACTAATACGAGTAAATATTTTTTCATTCAAATATGTTTGAATAATTATATACGGAGTACTTCATTCTTTATAAAATACTCAACATTCATTTATAAAAAAAAATAATAAATAAAAATAAATAATATTTGTAGTGCATCTTGTGTGTGGCTAGCCACACCATGTAGCCACTGATTCGGTAACCCCTTGTAATACTTACCAAGTAACCCTTATTATACCGATGAAGTAACCCTTGTAAAACTGAACGAGTAATCCCTATAATACTAACAAAGTAACCTTCATAATGGATGGTCACACCATGTGGCCAGCCACATATAAAACTTTGTGAAATACTTGTAGTTTTTGTACTCCATAATATTTTCATTTTTTAAGAGTTGTGAACTTTGTAACTTTTTATGAATGATCAACTAGTTTAATTTAATAAAGGCTTGAGGAGGGATGCTCAAAACGTGAAATTAAATCTCGTTTACATCACTTGTCCTTACGACGACGTAAGTCTCCACCAATATGCATCATGTCTTGTTAAAAGATGTAAAAAGATAAGATGAGCCATCACATATTCGCATGCTTTATTTTAGTTAGTCCTCCTTAAATGCATTAGCAAAACTAGTACTTCCTCATACATTGTAATAGTTATCATCTTAGGAAATTTCACAAGTATTGTGACATTATCATATTTCACATTTTTTTCCCCTCTATCTCCTCGTAACATTGGTCTCTTTCTTAATTTCTCTCTATGCCTCTCCTCTTCTTGACTTCTGCGTTATCTTTTGTTATTGTTCATAGCATGTGCGTCATCTCTACCAGAGGGCGGATCCAAGAGAGGCTGGGATGGGCCATGGCCTCCCCCTTAGCTCAAGATAAATATAAAATTTTGCTTTTAAAGTATTAAGTTTTAGTGTAGAGAGCTTGGTTTTTGCCATGTGATAGTGGACAATAGGTAAAGAGTTCAAATCTTGCAACTAACATTTTGTTGTTTATTTATTTATTTATTGTTTATAGTAAATGAAATCAATTAACTTAATAATAGTTACGAAATTACACATACATAGATATGATGTTGGCCCCCTCACTTATAAATTTTGGTTCCGCCACTGATATTTATGTCTCTTCTCTCAATATTAGGGCATCGAAGTAAGGTCTTGTTTATTTCAAATTAATTTTACTTATTTAAAAAATAATATAATAAGTTCATATCATCGTTTTATGTGCAGTTAAGGTCTTGTTTAGTTAAACTTATTTTTAATTATTTAAAAAATAATATAATAAGTTCATATCATCGTTTTACGTGCAGTTTTTTATCGCTTAATATCTTTAATTTCGTAATGAAAAAAAATATAAAATGACATATTAATAAAACACACATTATTAAGAATCTAGCAAGACCCCACTTAATATATACTCCCTTCGTCCCTAAATTACATTCCTGTTTTATTTATTATGTGAGGAATAAATGGTAGAAATAGAAATGTAATTTAGGGACGGAGGGAGTACATATATAAACTTAAGGTCAAAGTTTGATCAATCATATAAGAAAATTAAGGTAAATTAAACAAGCCTTAATATTGAGCAATCCCTAAATAAATAAAATTCTTAAAATTAACACCTTTTTCTTATTTTTATTTTTTTTATTATTATTTTCTTCTTTTCAAGTAGACATTAAAAGTCATTCCAAGAAATTTGTCACCCAATTGTCTCACAATCACAATACATAATATAAATAAAGCAATCTAAGCATGGTAATCCATGAAGTCATGAATTTTTTTGAGTCTTGAAACTTGAAGCAATAACTCATGGCCCAATTGTTGGCTTGTTGCTGTCTTTAAATCACACACGAAGGCCCACTATTATAAAACATGGGTCCAATGAGTCCAAATTAATGGGCCCAAGTAAATGCTAGCAGACCATGTTCAGGGGGCAAAGAGTTTGTGTTTCTTTTTCATGTTTGATTTTGTTTATAATTCTGTTAGGATATAATCATATAAACTGCTATAAAATCACAATTCTAATGATATTATGCCCCAGCTTGTTAGTTGTTATATGGGTTAATCCTTGGGGCTTAAGAACCCGCCGTAGTCATTGAAGATATCTTGCAATCAACCCTGAACAAATCAAACCATTTCGAGCAACCAAATAGTCAATTCCACGAAGATTGTATCTCAAATTGTTGTTGCTGAACACGTCCTTATTAAAAATTATTTGCTACTCCCTCCGTCTCTTAATTAGATTCCTACTTCTAGCACTTATTCCTCACATAATAAAGAGAAGTAGGAATCTAATTAAGGAACGGATGGAGTAATAGTCTAACAATACTCATATTATCGTAAGACCTCCCTCTTCATAAGTCCAATTCGTTCAACTACATAGAACCCCAATCAGGTTGTAATAATATATTAACATCAAAAGTTCACTGCTTTATTTTAACCTGTAATTTGATCGAAGTCACAAGTCATATCTTTCTTTACTTCTAAGTCAAGCACAAGCTATGAACGTTAGTTGATTACAGAAGTATAGCTTTGAACTAACTCCTCATTCACTCTGTCATCCTCTTCATCAGCTCCTGTTTAATCTTTATTTGAGTAATTAATCGAACCAACAATAACTTCGTCCATTTGAGTAATTAATCTGTCATGTTTTTTTTTTTCAAACACAACATTGTATACAACAAGAAATTAATTGAATTGGCTCCCTGAGTCCCTGTCTATGTCCAAGACATACATGAAGTAATTCACACCTTGTTAGTTCTGGTTTTGCTAATGTATCAATTAGTCTTGTTACTTATCTCGACCTAAATTTTATTACACTCGTTATGAATTTTCATCCTACATCGTTGAGAAATTCGTCTCAAATGATATGTCGAAATCATTAATTGAGCCTTTTTCCCTACTCATTTTGAGATCAATATCTTTCTTGACTTGATCTACTTTTGTTCTATTAATATCATTCTTATTGACTAATTAAGCTAATGTTACCTTATTTCATTCTCCTATTCCACTATAGGACATATTTGTCCATAAAAAAGGGCCTCCAAGGGCACAAAGCCTACAAACCCATATTGGCTAGCTAGCTAGCTAGCCAGTAGCCATCTCTATTTCTACTAGTCTATACTTATAAGATTCTTGTGACGTCATGAAAATTAACAATTAGAGAAAGGGGGAGTATTTATAATACAGTACACAAAACAAAAGTGTACTGTTATGATGCAATACTTCAATACCTATCATAGGAGGGCGAAATTACAACAATTCTTAAAACCTATAAATACATGCAAAACGAAGAATATTTAATTTCCATTTATAATGAAGAAAACACAAACAGTCTTACTAAGGTGGGTAGCAATTGGGTTGGAATAAGCACAAGTTACAAAATTAAGCCAGCCATCTTTGGCTGGAAAGCACAAGTAAACAGCACATATACCATACATATACTACATTACTAGTAGTGGTTTTTCTTTCTTTGTATACCCTCTGGCAAGTAAGCACTATGCAACTTTTTCGAGTGGGGTCAGTGGACCAATTTTCACAACTCATAATACATACTTCAAAATTTAACATTAGTAACATACTAGTATTTGTCATTGTTGCTTGTGGAAATCAAATTTCATTAATTTGCTATAAGAAATCTCACCAATCATTCATAAACTAGTATTAATAGCCTACCATGCATGAAAATTGAAAAAGTTGATATAATGGTGGATATATATGTATAAATTTAGTAAATTATGCTGTAAATTTTATAAGTACATGGTACAACATTGGCCCAGCCCAAAACTAGGTCGGGTTTGGGCAAAAGCATGGCAAACCTGTATTACACGGCAAGCTCGCTACTTTTTTTTTAATCGTGTTAAGGCCCTGCTCGATCCGTTTTAATTTTTTGATAACTTCTAGTAAAACCAAATACGTACTGTGTTGATCAGTATGATTAGAATGTGTTCTATTCACCTTATTTCACTGATATGAACTTATTTTAATTTATTAAAACTTATTTTAGTTGTAATTTGTACTTGAGTAACCCTTATCAAAACTTTATAAACCAGACTAAACTTATCATAACTTATTACACCTGAAATAAGTGAAATAAGGTAAACTGAACAAACCCTTAATTATTGATTTAATGGTAAATCCTCTATAATCCCTTCATATATTTTAGAGGTCATAAAAGATCTAGTGCAATCGTTGGACTTGTCGGACTTGCACTTGAATAACGGGAGTGAATGGGTAAGGGTAGACTAAGGAACATAATAATACACAATGCACAAGTTGAGCAAATGATTGAAAAATGGAGTAAAAAATTACATGTAGGAGGAGATAACAATGTAAACAAATTAAAGTAATCTAAGCCAGCTTTTGACAGCTTTAAATTATTTCTAGCATGTCTATTAGTATGTCTAAGAACATCTGTTAGATGGTTGCCTAACATATAAATTCTTTTGGAAACTTATTATCCCAATCATTTGGTGATCCATTTGATTATTGGTAAAATTATACATCCGGTATCCTAGCTGACATTTTGCTGGCTCTAAAAATTTAATTCTACTGGTACTAGTGTCTGCATTTTCTAATGTTATGTTATTATATGTAGGTTTAAAAACATTTAATAGTTGCAATTTTCTTATCCACAAATCAAATTAGATAGAATAGAAAAACAAGCTAAAAACATGTATTACAAAATAAAGCTATTGAGGAATTGGTTTCAAATTTTGAACTACGTTACTATAATATACTTTCTCTACTCATCTCGGTTTTTGACATTTTCATTGGGTGAAGGAGTTGATAAGTCAAGACTCAAACACTCCAAAACTCTAATTCTCACATATTTTTCCATTAAATAGCCAATTCATTACTATACTTATAGACCATGATATACAAATATATAATAGACGAGTTGTTAATTGATCGAACAAAATATCAAATTGTGTTAAGAGCTTATATTTGATTAGTTTTTTTACGTCGTATGGAGAGTTACTTATCATTCGTAATTGAAGGATGTTTTCAATATATATGAAGATTATGAACAGTTGCCACAATATAACCAAAAAACTATGTAATGTATGTCATGTAGACTCGTGGACGGAGTGCGACTAGAATATTGCACGTCAATAAAGAATATAACCCTTTGATATAAATAAAAAAACGGCCAGTTTATCAAAAAATTGTGGAGCCATTAGGTTGTTGGCCGCTATTTGCAACGGCTACTTTAAAGAAAGTTGGTTTTCTCTCTCCAATTATCTAATGCAACAGTCATAAGACAGCTACGACTACTTACCGTTAAAACTTTATAATCGCGCCAATATACATTGCAAATTTGCAAGTCAAGTCTTTTGTTTTTTCAATTGTTTACTTATTTGTTAACCACATGTAGAAATTTTTGATTAATTGTTTGATTTGTTTGGCAATGAAAATAATAAATGGATTAAAACTCTTGCTTGTATATAACAAGATTAGCAACAGACCGTATTGACTTATATCTACAGAGATCCAAGATTTATACGATAATGTCAATAACTGTACGAATTTTTTCCTTCCCAATTTGTAATACCTTTTTCGGCTCATTTAACACTAAGTTTAACATTCACTCCTCGTTTTTAAAGATGTACATAAAAAAAAGAGTATAATTAAGCTTAGAAACAATTTGTTATCATTTGATTTTCAGATTAAACTGTAAAGAATTTATATGTTGTTAGACTCTTACCTATACTTAGGCTTGGTTCACCTCACCTCACCTCACCTCACCTCACCTCACCTCTAAGGCCTAATAAAATTTCTTTTAGGGACTTGTTGTTTACAAAAAAAAAGGTCTAATAAAACTTTATATCTTATAAGGTCTAATAAGATAAGCTAAAATCAGAAATTAAAATGATAAGGGTTGATCGATAAAATAATCTAATAATGTAAGGCCTAAGATAAGTTTATCCAATAATGTATCGTTCATATAAGATAAGTTTTTCGCGTGGACATAATAATTTAGTACAACTCAGCTTTAAAATTTTACCCAACCCGACCCAACCATATCAAATCCAATTCGATTATCTGAACTGACACCCTAAGTGAAATAATGCTAATGTTGACCATTTCATTATCTTCCATAATGAAGAAGAAGATTCTAACAAAAGCTACATAGGAATAATGATACGTTCACCATGACATTTTGATTACAAATTCATGAATCATACCAACAACATACCAAACTTAGAAATAAATAACGCGTAGAAGGAACCATCCCAAAAATTAAATTTACCACAAAAATAAAAACGCACTCAAAAAAATTAAAAAAAATAATGGTAGGGTAAATTGACACGGACGTTTTACTGACCAATACCAACTTTCACACGTGTTGCACTGAGATGGTGATATTTGTCACTTTAAGCAGCAAAATTCTCACGGAAATTCATGTTCCCGTTTTTTACTCTTTCCTTAAATCTTTACACGTGTCATACATATTTGTCGCACGGCCAGTGCTTCATACACTTTTACATTTTGTATTTGCATGCTAATGCTAATTACATTAATAAAATTAATTTAATTAATATAGGTTTGAAGATTTCAAAGGTAGTAAGAAAAAAATGGTTAAAAACAAGTTAACTAACTCTTACGTAATTGACAAATTATGCTAGAAACTTCCTATGTATGCACTTAATTTGACGCGGTTAATAGTACACGGTCAATCAATAGCTTATATTATAATTAAGTTTTAATTTCTTGGCTTAAGATTGTGTGAGTCAAAAATGACAAGCATAATTTTGTTGATATTAATGTTAATGCTACAGCTTGAATTTTGACTTAGGCAGCAATAAGCCAATAAGTACAACTGTACAAGTATGAATTTTTTTTTTTTTGAGGGGAGTACAAGTATGAATTTTATTCTACTTGTATGTAAAATAAGTTGTATTACTTCACTTGTATATAGACATATGTAAATAAAATTACATGTTACTATCATAAAGTACGCATTTTTGTTGATTTCATAAAAATATTAAGCTGTTTTTTAAAATCATAATCAAACGTTACTATTGACAAGTACTAATGATATATTTTTGTCTGAGCTCTAGTAGCTCTAATGTACCCCGTAGTACACTTCTATTATAAAACCTTGTCAATTTAGTTTGACTTTAGGGGATTGTTCTTAAAATTTTGCCATCTATATTGGAATTGTTGGGCGATATAACTTATATAAGGAGTATTGTACACTGACATTCATGTAGATGATAAACTACTTAATCTACTACGTAATTAGTTAAAGTTTTGAGTGATGGTATTTAGAATTAAGATTAGAATTAAATCTCGTCTACATGTTTAGTCTTTGTGGCTTTCGCTGCACAAAAATAAATACTATGTACTTCGTAAATAAATCATACACATTCCATACATTATACATGATTTAGGGCAGGGCCTGTTTAGTTCAGTTTAATTTTAATTCAATTCCTAATTTCCTTCTCTCATAAAATATTCATTTCAATTCAATTTATTTCAGTTCAGTTTCAACCAATTCAGCTCATTTCAGTAAATGTGAACGAGCCCTTAATCGGTGAAATGACATATGGATCTTCCCAAAACTCCTTACTAGTAAAAATTTTAAGTTACAAGAAGTATGATTATAATTTCCATAAAAGAAAATTACACTCAATATATCATTTCAATTATTGTGCACTTGTAATAACATTCTGTATATAAGAACTTTCAATTATCATAGAATCTTCAATATTAAGAAACAAAAGATTATTTTTTGAAATCATATCTTTTTACCTAAATTAATTTTATATTCCTTAAAAACAAATACGAGTAATAAGATAGGGAGTTTTACTAATGAAATAATCAAAAAGATATTATTAAATCTAAAATAGATGGAAAGTAAGATAAATTTTATAAAAGAATATATGCTCAAGTGCTCAACCATAAACAATACTCCATAATTAATTAATTAATTATTAAAATTTTCAATTGCTAGTTGTATCATATTCTAAAGTCATAGAAACAAAGTTCACCGCATTTTCCAACTCATTGGCACCGCCATAAACCCAAAGTCACCCCCTCCCACCTTCTCACAAACTCCCTATAAATACATTATTCTCTTCCTTTGGAATCTCATAAACTCTCAACACTTCTCATTATAAAACTCTCTCTCTCTAAAAACCAAAAAACAACCCAGCTTTCTCTCTCTTAAAAACTCACAACAACAAACAAAAAAAATGGCATACACAAGAACTAAAGTATTCTTCTTACTTTCTCTCTTGGTTGCCACTTCTATGGCCCAAGCACCCGCACCCACACCCACACCCACACCCACACCCACCGCCACCCCCGTAACACCCACCGCCGCCCCTTCACCCGCACCAACCGCCGCAACACCCGTCGCATCACCAGTAGCAACACCCGTGTCAGCGCCTACAACAGCCCCTGTTGCGACACCCACAGCTGCACCAACCCCGTCAACGGCACCCGCTACTAGTCCTTCTGCCGAGGCCCCTGGTGCACCCGCCCCCGCGGTCGAAGGGCCGGGTGCTTCTGGTCCATCAGTAGAGGGACCAGGGGCTGGTGGTCCATCCGCCGATACCCCGGCTAGTGACAACACTAATTCTGCAGGAAGGTCTGTTGTTGCTGGTGCCGTTCTTTTTGGTGGGTTCGTTGCTGCTTTGATGGTTTAATTTGATTTTAGATGTTTTTTTTGTTTGTATTTAATTTTGGGTTTATGATTTTAAATTTAACTACATTTATTGAATTTGGTTGTTGACTGTTGAGGTTTTTGAGGATTATTATTATTATTTTGGTGATGGATTTCATGGATTCTTAGGTGCTTTTGAGTAGAAATTCTTTTGTAAAGAATCCCATGTACATGGATTATAATTACTAATAAAAAAGTTGATTAATTTTTCTGAATTTCTCTTTGTTTAATATTTTTTTCTTTTTAAATTTTTTTTTATGGCTTTATGGTTTGTATCTTTTTTTAAAGCCTAAGTTATTAAAGTCTATTTTGCTTGGTATCAAATAGTTGGTTTAGAACGTTGGCTTAAAAAAAAAAATAGTTGGTTTAGAACGCGGTTTTCTATACATATAGAAGTCTTTTCATGAGTTCAAGTTATGATGCAGAGTCAAGAATCAGTCTGATTTAATTTAGTGGTTAAAATTCCTTTTTACAACCATATGATCGAGATTTGATTCGATTTGATTTTCACCCTACAAAGATTGTTCCTTAATTTTCTACAACTTGCAAAATATCGTTTGGGTAATTTTGAAATTATTCAATTTGCCATAACAGAGTATTTTTACTCGCCATGTTATATTGGCACCACCTAAGGCAAAGATAAAAATATGGTCCTATTTGAGTGTGAATTAGTTTACAATTGTAAAAGCCACTTTAACCTAAATGTGTAGTTTATGCATCATGTGTGTACTTTGTGATATCAAATACAAATATGAACGAGGAGAGAGATAGAGAGAGTGCAAGTGGAAAACATGCCAAAAATAGTATGGGGCAATCTTTTGAAGACATCTAAAAAAGGCAAATGGAGCAAACAATTGGAAACAAAGGGAGTATATTGTAACTGGGAGTTTTTTTGGCATAAAAACTTAATCAATACTAATATCACAATTTTTGTCATAAAAAAAGAAAATAAAAAATAATATCAAATAAGTTCTTAATTACTTGTTTTTTGGTACCTAAAATGAATAATCAATTTGGTCCTCTAGTCCATTCTAATGGTCATGTGTAACTTAGTTTTTTTTTTTTTTTTTTTTTTTTTTTGAGAAATCATGTGTAACTTACTTCGTACTAAGCTAATAGTTAAAATGTTATTCAACTCGTAAGGCCTTAAATGATGAAGGGTACATTAATTTATATTTTTTGCCACAATCCTTCAAGATGTTTAAATTAGATGTTCATCAAGTTGTTATTCAAACTTATCTAATTTTATTTTGTTTGAATAAGTCAATAGAAGTTAAAGTAGTAAACACATCTTAATCATGATACACCATACTTTCTGTTTCGGATGCAATGGGGCCTTGCCGAAGGCCCGTTGAAGTGGCTGAAGACTGGTCCGGTCCAGTTGATGCTGGGCCGAAGGTTTCCTGCACAACTAAAACACGTAAACTGGCCTCGGGGGTGGATCTGAGGAAGACCCCTCCGATGCCGAAGTCAAACAGTGTTTAGAGAGAAAAAGCTATGCAAGAGATTTAATGCTTGAGGCTTTGTTGTGTTGTATGAATGAATGAATTGAAGGCTTTTATACCTTTTCCCATGATGAGAGGAGAGTAATTGGGCCTTTAAATAGTCATGGGCTGACCATGGCAATTCGGACCAAAGGACTCTTGGTTGACTTGGCTTGATTGGAGGCTCGGGCCTTGACCTTGGAATATGAAGTCATTTAGTGACCAGGCTCAATAAGATAATTGGACCCAAATACATGACTAGGCCCAATTAGATAAATTGGACCCAAACAACTTGCCCCCCAGACTCGATTTGGAAGGATGACGGGTCGGGTTTGAATCCGATAGGAAATGGAGGGAAGTAAATGATTTAATTAAATCAAAAGATTTAAATTCTTTGAACAATTATTAATTAAATAACTGTAATATGGATAATTAACAGGAAGTGGAGTGGATAGTGGGCGGTTAATCAAGAGAGAGAGTGTTTAACGGTTAATTAAGGAGGCATTTAAGAGAAATTTGAACTTTTCGACCTTTGGGATTCTCCTTCCTGGAATTATAAGGTCAGATTCGCATTTCAACCTCATTTCTTCACCAACTTACACTCAAATTCTCGCGCAAACCCATTTTCGCTCTGAATTTCCAGCGTACCATTTTCGAATCCGAGTTCGAGACTCAAATCCATCGCTTCCACTGATTTGACCGGCGTATTCCGGCCAATTTGAAGGTAATTTTCTCCGAGCTTTTTCGATTTTCTTGCCCTTTTTAGGGAAATTCTTCTTCTCCCTTCTTTCCTTCTCTGAATTTGATTATGGCTCGAGAAAGGAGGCGTCATCCGGGTCGACGGGGCCAGGCTAGGGACCCCCGTGACCGCGCCGACGTTTGGAACAGGGAACGAGCCGGTGAAGACCCGGAAAGGGGGATTTCGGCAGTTCCTTTAAACGCCGTGCCGCCTCAGCAGGACGCCGAGGCCGGCGAGGCGAAGCAACCTGAGCAGAGAGAACAGGCTGGGCAGGCTGAAGATTTGCCCCCTGTGCTCTGGGACCTGCTTCCTGGGCATGCTGAATGGCAGGACGCCGAGGCCCAGGACGCCATGGTGAGAAATGCCCAATACTCATGGTGGGTTCGGCATGCCGAAACCTACCGATTTGCCGAGCAAATTGAGTTGCACTATGGCATTTTTGAAGAGGATGGGCATTGGTGCCGAATGCCCTCGCCGACTGACAGGATTCACCGTCCCCCCTGGGTATGTAGGGGTGTACACTCGGCAATTGCAATATGGGCTTCGGTTTCCTTTGGATCCCTTCGTCAGGGACATTTTAATAAAGTACAGGATCTCCCTGTGCCAATTAACACCCGTTAGCATTCGGCAGGTGATGACTTATCTCTGGGTGTGTCGGTTTTTTGCTGTTGAACCGAATTTGCACTGCTTTCGAAAGATGCATCAGCTAGTGCAGAACCTCCAGAGCGTGTACGGCCAACACGGGTCTTCAGGTTGGTGGCGAATAGAGAGTCGCCCCCAATATCTGACTATGTGGCCGAACGACTCCTCGGATAAGGATTGGAGGGGTCAATGGGTCTGGGTGAGAGTTCCCGCTGATCCGGAGCATCCATATTTTTTCGGGGCTCCCCGATACCTCTCCAGGCCTGATCCGAACATGCAAGACTTGGGTCCTGAGGACCCTGATGCCACTAGCCACCCGAGTTATGAGCAAATGAGCAGAATAACCCCGGGGGAGTTGGCCGAATGAGAACTCTCCCGGCCAGATGGCTTCCGGATAACCATTACATCTTCCAAGAGAAGATGTTGGCAGTTGTCGGCCTCAGCCGAAAGTACAGGGGTGGTAAGTATGTTCGGCTGGGGCCGAGGACTTTAACTTAGTCAATTTTGATTTGTCTTTGATGTTTATTCCCTTAGTCTAACCTTCGTCTGTTCTTTTCAGAGCTGAGCGAAGCTACCTCGGGAATTGATTATAACCGGCTCGGGGTGAACGCTGAAAGGGTCATTCTAGACCGGGCTCCGGCAATCACAGCTCCGAAGAACCGTCCGTTGCATCTGCACGAAACGAGTCTTCAAATTGAAGCCGCTGCCGAATACACCAAGCAGAAGCCTTGGTGGGAGAAGCGAGATCCCCTTCGGCCTTTATTACCTGAGGAAGTACAGGCTGCTCAGACAGCAGCTGACGTGTCCCGAGTAATTCAACTCCTTGGAAGGAGGTGTTGGGACGTCCGGTGCTGCTGAGGGGGATATCCCTGCACCTGGAGTTTAGCCGAGGGTTCCAGTAAGTTCCTGACTTGTTTGGGTTTTTTTTTTTTACTCATACTTTGCTGCCCCCCCCCCCTTTCTGTAGTCTGAGGAAGGGAGCGGAAGAAGAGAAGGAAAGGCGCCTGCTCGTTCTGAAGATCCATCTTCATCAGAATCTGAAGAAATGGACAAGCAGCCCTTAGCAAAGAGAAGGAGGAGGTTGGCTGTGCTGGGGCCTCGGCAGTTTCAGATGGGGATGAGGCCTACCGGGGGCATCCTCATACGGGAGCCTGATGGAGGTAGACGCTCGCCGAGGGCTCCCCCTCCGCCGGAAGCTCCGCGTCCTCAAACCCCCCCTCCACCTCCCGAAACTCAAGAGATGGAGGTGGACCAAAGAACTCCTGATCCGAAGGGGGGGGGGGGGTTCAGGGACACCCTGCTGAAGAATCTGAGAAGCCGATTGCTGAAGGCTTCTCAGATGATATTGATAGGGAGGTTGACGCTTTTCTTCGTCAACCTGATCTGGGGGATGAAGCAGAGAAGGTCGTTGCTGCCGACCCTGGTGGAGACCAACTGGGCTCCACCGAAGGAGAAGGTCATGCTGAACCTGTGAAGATTCAGGAGGTTCCCTCTTCTTCCTTCCCCTCATTCCAGACGCTGAACTCTGGAGATTTGGGTTTCTCGGCCCCCCCGTATCACAGTCCCAGTACCTGTTTGGGAACGAATTTGGGGCCAGAACCGTGAATGGGCTGCAGGTTACTTTGGCGACTTAACTAGCATGTCCGAAGTGGACCGAGCAAGGGTGTGGTCGCTGAAGGCCACAGCTGGGATGGGAGAATCCAGCCGAAGGGTCCCTGGCCCTGTAAGAGACAACCAGCGTTTGCTGATGCAGGTACTCAACCTTTTAGTTGCTTTGCTTTCGTTCAGCTCTTCTTCTCCTTTCTGGCTCTTTCCTTTTTTATTACTTTATTTATTTCAATTGATGTGCCCCTGCAAACAGGTTGTGCACAATCAGACTCTTACTGTAGAGTTGATTGACACCCTCCAAGACAAGCTGGAGCATGCCTGGGAGGAGGCAAAAATTGCCCGGGAGGAGGCGAAGCTTGCTGAGCTGAAGCAGCAGAGCGAAGAGTATGAAAAGAGGGCTGCTGAAGCCATTCAAACCTTCTGCTCGGCTATGGAGAAGGAAGTTTTTCCCCGCTAATGGAACGAGAGAAATTCCTTCAGGAGCAAATGGGAGTGGACATCTCCAAATTTAAAGCTGCCATCGAGATCAGAATTCAAGAAGGAGCTGCTGCACAAGATGAAGTGCAACGGAAGTTGGAAGCTCTTGAAGCCAGCAGGATGGCTGCTGAAGAGGCTCTACAGGCTAGGGATGTTCACCTTTCTGCTGCCCAAGCTGCTGCTGAGAGCCAAGACCAGAAGCTGAAGGAGTTGGAAGATCAGCTAAGAGTCAAAGGAGATGAGCTGACCCAGGCCAAAACTGAAG